CTTAGGGTCACACGTAATATATAAATGGCTAAAAAAAGGCTCATGGGACATGTTGAGGCTTTGGTGCAATTGGAAGCTGAAACGGCCGTGGGAATTCTTTCCGAACATGCCCCGTGTGTATGGGCCATGAAAACGAATTAATCCAGATAGTCTGATAACTGTCACAGGCAGACATATGGAGGAACGGAGGGATCCACGGAGCCCCGTCCTCCTCATAAATTACCAAGGCCGCTGAGTAAGATGCTCCAGCACTGCCCCAAAGAGATAGGGCCCGTACATTTGATTTTCCCCCACTTAATCTAAACTAACCATCTGTGAAAGAGGGGAGATGTGGCACTCCAGCCAAATGGGCTGACTTCATAATCAGGAGGTCCTTCCAATTATTGCTTAATGTACCACATTATTATAGTGCGTGCCATTCTGTCCAGGCAGCTTTACATTTTAGTTTCCCCGGCATCCATATCACTGTTACAGTGAGCAAGCTCACGGTCATCCTCATTAGCCAGCTGGTTGGGTCCCAGACGATAAAACCAGCGTAAAGAGCTCTCTGGTAAGCCTGTGCTTCCCTCTGTGCAGCGAAATGGCTTCCTCTTGAAATCGGTGTAAATTGCGTTCTGCGTTCTGGGTGACTTCATGGTGCGACTTACAGATTTGCCATTTGAAGCAAATGGCGCAGTCATAAAGTCAAGGCAAAATTTTGAAAGCTCACAAATCTGCAAATAGGATAGTTGCGAGAGATAACTGCGGGTTCATGTGAAGTGTCAGTATTCTTTCATTGAACAATTCCTTGAATTGTGTGCAAACCTATTGGTTGATCTCTCTTGTAATGTATTAATATTTATGGTAGGCCTGGGTTCGAGGGTTTTGCCGTTTCTCAACTCATATTATCCCTCTCTTCAACTCTGTTGCTCTCTTCATCTCTCCTTTCTTGTGACTCCAGTGTCTTTTAAGGAGTGCAGTCATGCAAGGATCCATTAGGCAAAAACCAATTTCACACAGAGCCAATTTCATAAATATTGAAAGTGAGCCCACCCTCAGCCCTGCTTGAGTGACTTTAGAGGGATATACAAAACCATCAACAACAGGCCCGGCTTTAGCACCCCTCTCCACTCACGCATTTTATTAAGCTTTACTCAACAGATTACAAAAGCTCACCCCACAACAGCAAGATGCCAAGCCAAACTGATTGGCTGCTACAGTACATCCAGATTTTTTCCCACACAAAGTTTTTTGCTTACCATGAGGACATTAGTTTATTTGGGTTAAAGGTGGTATAAAGTAAAATGAATAGCCCAAAATGATCTGCAAATACTGTACCATGAAGAATGAGTTGGCATCTTTGAGTGTACTACAGTATCTTAAAATATTATGTACATGTTGGTTGGCCACGACCCAGTGAATAGCATATAGGGCCGGGTGATGTAGCAATAAATATAAAGGTACATTAAAATCATCACAATATGCAATTTTGTTTAATTTTATATTCAAAAATCAGTGTGAATATATGAATATTCAATATAGCACCTAGCCTTATTACTGTAGCATATCAGCTGTATTGCTGCATGGGACATACAGTAGGTTTGAATTCAGCCTATATCTCAATAATATAAACTAAACCTAAACTAAAACAAACAAACAAAAAAGGCATCTATTACACACAGAATGTGAGTCTAGTGCACCTTGATCATATGCTCTTTACTATCAGTTCTGAGAAAACAATCTTTTCATATCGCAAGGAGAATTAATATTTTAAGTTATATCTTAAATTAAGATGTGATGTTCAGTGGGTGTTTGTTAAAAAGAGATGCGAAGTGAGGGAGCAGGGAGCTCAGTGCTGTGAGAAAGAAACTTAGAAATAGACTGAGATAACAGGAGAGAAAAACATGACATAGCAAAGAGAATTGGATGTGGGCTGATGTTTAACTAAAAGTCACAGAGGAGAAGTAATCAGCCTGCAAGCATCTTGTTTCTCTCTCTCTAAAAATGTCTAGCAAAACGAAAACATGCAAATGAAGGCATTACTGTATGCACACTGGAGTTTGTAGAAAACATTTCAGAACACAAGCAACGTAAGGCATCAAATCTATTCTTATGTAATGGAGAAATGAGCAGAATAAGATGATCATTAGATAAACTTTGCATAATAAACACGATGGAGGTGAGAATTGAAATGATACACTTGTAGAGAGTCACTGAATGGAGCAGTCATGGAATTATTTGCACTATTGGACAATGTCTTCAATCTTGTCCATTTGTAGCAGTGAGTTAAGAGGTGATATTGTTCACAAGTGAATGGAGTACTTCAGGGCTCAGTACTAGGACCGTTACTTTTCACCCTCTACATGCTACCCTTGGGCGCTAAATAAATAAAGGTCACTTGACTTGATCTCTAAAACTCCAAGTACAGTGGGGAAAATATTTATTTGATCCCCTGCTGATTTTGTAAGTTTGCCAACTTACAAAAAAATTGAAGGGTCTGTCATTTTTATGGTAGGTTTATTTTAACGAATAGAGACAGAATACCAACCAAAAAATCCAGAAAAAAAAACATTATATAAAGGTTAGAAACTGATTTGCATTTCAGTGAGTGAAACAAGTATTTGATCCAAACATGACTTAGTACTTGGTGCAGAAACCCTTGTTGGCGAGCACAGAGGTAAGATGTTTTTTGTAGTTGGTCACCAGGTTTGCACACATCTCAGAGGGGATTTTGGTCCACTCCTCTTTACAAATTCTCTCTAAATCCTTAAGGTTTCTTGGCTGTCGTTTGTCAACTCGAAGTTTCAGCTCCCTCCTAAGATCATTAACAAGCTCCTCCCGTGTAGTTCTGGGCTGATCCCTCACCTTTCTCATGATCATCCTTACCCCATAAGGCGAGATCTTGCACGGAGCTCCAGGCCGAGGCCGATTGATGATTATTTTGTATTTCTTCAATTGCCGAAT